CAATATGATATTTATATATTATATTAAAAAAAACTAATATAGCAAATAAAAAGTTATTTAAAATTAGAATAATAAAGATTTTTTTTTTTGGTAACTTACATGGATAAATGTACAAATAACTATTGTCTATCACATCAAATTTACACATAAAATTATAAGGAGAAAAAACTAACATTAACAACTCAGCTCGTTTACGTCGATAAGTATATTTATAAAAGGTTTATATTTCTTCTATTAATTATAACATTTTTATTTATTACTTTGTTTCATATTTATTAGTACGTGTCACAACTTATTTATTTTTAATATTATTTATCATATTTAATATTTTTTTAAACTTTTATCTTGTCCTTTTACATGTTTTTAACTGTAGATTTGTCAAAAAATGCATGATATAAAGTCTAGAATTGTTTTGACCATCTGTCTCATTATATTTCAATTATTTGTATATCTTATATTATATTTAATTACAATTTTTTTTTAAATTTATACTACAACTAAATATTTATTATTCATAAATTCATCAATAATATTGTCGAGTCAACTTTTGTTCATAAAATTTTAAAAAAACATAATTATTTACAATTATTTGCTTATGTCGATAAATACAAATTTAAAAATTCTACAAATACTTTTACTAATTATAATATTTTTATTTATTACTTTTTTTCATAGTTATTAGTAAGTATTACAACTTAGTTATAAATTTAATATTATTTATTAGAGTTATTGTTTTTTTAACTTTAAACTGTTCTTTCATATGTATTTTAATATATATGTGTGTGTGTGTGTGTAGAACTTTTAGGTTTGTTAAAAAATACATAAAATTAAAGTATAGCACTTTTTTGAATCATATGTCTTATTTATATTAATTATTTTTATATCTTTATATTATATTATATATAATTATAATCTTCTCATTTATACTCAAATATATAAATTTTTTATTTCGTACATTTTTTTCTTAAAAACTATTTTATTATAATAACACATATTAATAGATAGATGAGTAATGATAATATATGAATATAATTATTTGATTAAAATAATTAATTTTCAACATGTAAATCATATTATGATTCTCGAGATATTTTTAATTTATTTGTAGATAATTATATGGTAAAAATTAATCCATGTTGCTAAAGTGGTATCTCATATGACGTGAAAACAAATAGATTAAGTTTTAGTATTATACAATTTCATAAAATTATTCTGGTCTTATGTATCGAAGAAATTGAATTGATTAGAAGTTTAGGTTGCAGAACAATCATTCAACAATTAATCTCGCATACTATTACACATTTTGTATAGGTTATTTTCAAAATAATGTTTCTATACTTTGTGGTCGTTAGGAGAAAAAAACAATATCGATTTCTAGTTTTATAAGTGTTTATTATGCTTTTTTTTGTTAGATCAATTTTAATTTCTTTAAGGAACTTTTATATATTAGAGTTATGAAATGTGATTACAGTATTACTATTAAAATTATATTAAAAATGATGATATTTTTCAAAACAACAATTCTATATCCTATCAAACAGTTTTAGAGATATGTGGAAGAAAACAAAGTCGTGAGAAGTAATGGTGTCAAACCAACATATTGTAATTGATTTTAGTAGTGTGGAATGATTTGTTCATGTATTTGTATTTAATTAATTAAATATTAGTTATAATTAAAAATATAAGATATGATGGACATTATTATATTACTAATTTGCCATTAAAAACATGTCAAAGTAAGGGTTTATTAGGTAATTCATTTTAATATTTAAAAATATAAAATATGATGTGCATTAGTGTATTACTAATTTGCCATAAAAAATATGTGAAAGTAAGGATTTTTTAGGTAGTTCATATTTTTACAAAAACACTCGTCCTTTTAGAGTAGTATAGATATAGATTAAATACACGAAAAAACAATTTCTTTTGTAAAAGGCTAAAATGTAATCTTGGTCCTATTAGATTAAAAAGATAGCAATTTAGGTCCTATTGGAATGACATATAACAATTTAAGTCATGTGATTTAATATTTTGATGCAATTTCGATCATTCTGTAATTTTAATATTTTGCTACAATTTCTGTTATTATTGATTAAAATTACAACAAATTTTTAAGTTACAGAACTTAGCAATTTAAATCATTTGATTCAAATTGCAATTCGTTCTCTATCATAAGGAACGAAAAAAAAAAAAAGTTATTCGACAAGAACGAAAAAGTTGAGGTAATGAACCGTGTAGCAATAAAATTGCAATTTGCTATATATTATTTCATTAGTCTTTAGTTAAGTTCCATCACAAAAAATGCTATGAACTTTTTCCTTTTCTTCTTTCCTACAAAAGTGCCTAAAAATTTTGCAATTGGATTGGTGAATAATTTNGCCCACAATCACTCATTTCCCGGGTACAAAGTTAGTAGCATAGGCCCAAGCATTATTATTAACCGGATCCGCAAGATGATCCGCCAAATTCTCCAACGGGCCCTTTCCCGTCACAATCGCCTGCACAAAAAACCCAAACATCGAAAACATAGCAAGCCTCCCATTCTTCAACTCCTTCACTTTCAACTCCGCAAAAGCTTCCGGGTCATCCGCCAAGCCCAACGGGTCAAAACTCCCGCCCGGATACAACGGGTCAGTAACCTCACCCAGAGGCCCACCAGCAATCCGGTAGCCCTCAACCGCGCCCATCAAAACAACTTGCGTGGCCCAAATAGCCAAAATGCTCTGCGCGTGGATCAAACTCGGGTTACCCAAATAATCGAGCCCACCATCGCTGAATATTTGGGACCCGGCTTTAAACCAAACGGCCTCGCCGAATTTGACTCCGTTTCGGGCCAAGAGCTCGGGGAAAACGCAGCCGAGGGCCCCGAGCATGGCCCACCTGGAGTGGATGACCTCGAGTTCTCGATTCTTGGCGAAGGTTTCGGGGTCGGCCGAGAGGCCGGCGGTGTCCCAGCCATAGTCGCCGGGGAATTCGCCGGTGAGGTAGCTCGGGGGCTCGCCGGAGAATGGGCCGAGGTATTTGACGCGGTCCGGGCCGTACCACGGGCTTCCGGAGGAAGCTGCGGGCTTGGGCTTTGAGGTTGTTTTCCTCATAGTGATTCGTGGGCTTCTTCGGAAGATTTTTTTGGAGGGGGCGGTGGATTGAGAGAGCTTCACCGGCTGGCCGGAGAAGGAAGGGGAAGAGAGGGCCATTGTTGAGGCGGAAGCCATTTTTTTTTGAAATATTAGTAATTTTGTGTGGAGATTTTGATGTATTTTTTTTCATTGGCTTGGATTGGACGGGTTTATATGGAGATTTGAGGATTGGAGTACCTTATCTAGGGGAGATCAGTATCTGTGGTCTGATTGGTGGATGATAGTTTGATGGGTTGATATTTTACAGACACGTGGCAGCAGGCAACACCACAAGTCATCCCAAGTGGGACAATTTGAGAAAAAAGATCTTGATGAGTTTTGTTGTGGCCAGTAAGAGATTGCCACGTCTGCGGATGGGATGGTGTAATATCTTCATGTGATATCTATCTTGCAGATGCAAGAATATGTGGACCAAATTATTGATTTTCACAGTTAATGATTCTATTGGTTGGGCTAGATTTTTATTTAATACTTGATAAATTTGAGTCATTAAGCTGATATATGATGGATGTATCAGATTTAATGTCACCCTATATAATTAGTGTTTTTTCCTTCAATTAAGTTAGGTACGCAGTATTTTTTGTCAATTTTTTGCTACATTAAGAATATCTGTTAAGAGGGAAAACTAATTTACATCAAGAGGGGTTCGTGTTATCAATAAAAAATATAGATTATATTGTTTTCCGCATCAAGTATTTTGTATACACCAAAATTATTTATTTAAGACTCGCAATTTATGCATATTGCAGAGTGAGTGTAGAAATTTGGGTTTGATTGTTATTACTAATGTAAAATGAGTAACACAAAAATTGTATAGAATGGCATTCAACTTGTGCACAAGAGTGTAACATTGTTAATGCAGAAATGGAAGACTAAATGAAGTCCAATTTTTTGGAATTTGATGTGTTGGATAACTAATGAGACTTGGGGCAATCAACATAACATAGCTCTAATATCTGAGAAAATGGAGTCGAGCCGTAACAAACAACGATATTCATTGTGGCTACCCGAAAGAATAGAGGGCTAAAGAGATACGAAAGAATGTATAGTTGATGACACAGAACTCGACAAACACACTGTAAAAGACTTGATATTTGAGCCAACTTTACGTGTGCTCCGTCAACCTCTCAAGTTCGATACTTTTTCGACAATCATAGCTTAAATTAGTCAATTAAAAATTAATTCTTATTAACGAAATCAGTTGTCAATATTGTATTTGTACAAGTAGTTTTTGTCATCTATTCTAAGTGATTAGAACATGTAGTGTCTGATGAACATCTTTCTTCATACTGAGTTTAAAGTCCTTTTTCAATCTCTTGGAAAAAGAAGTACCAGTTAGATTACTCCTCATAATCTTACTAACTTGAGAAAGAATGAATCAAACTGAATTAGCATATTTATATTTTATGTTTTACGCCGATATGATGAAAAATAGTTACATGCTGCATTCCAATTAAGTGTTGGTAACAATTTCAAATGAAACAATGAAATGGGGAATGTGAAAACTGTAATGAATAACTAGGGATTCAAGGGTGAATTTCACCATACCCCCGTGTGCACTAGGCCATAGGAGATTTAACCGTCTGATCAATATTAACTCGCAAGGGTGATCCGAAGATTAAAATTAATCCCTCGTGGGGCAATGTAGGAACGAATTAGACTTGTTAACGAATCGAGTCGAACTCGAGTTTAGGATACTTGAGCTCGAGCCCTTAACGAGGAGCGCCGAGCTCAGCTCGTTAAATAAACGAGCCAGAAATCGAGCTCGACTCTTTTATCATTATTAACGAGTCGAGTTTGAACATTAACGAGCCGATCTAGACCTTTAACGAACCAAATCATAGAAAATTGTACAATTTTTTTTTTTTATGAGTCGAATTGAACTCGACTCGTTAAGGCCTCGAGCTGAGTCTAGCCTAGCTAGTTCAATTTAGCAGCACTAGAACGAATCTATCCTCACTGGCATAACCAAAGATAAGCAAAATCTAAACCCGTCGATACATAGATAGATCAGCTTGGCATTTTCAAAAAATTATGAAACTCCAAATCACAAGAATAGATGGACAAGAACTTGCCAACTCATCATCAGCAAACCAAAACAAACCCAATAATATTGCAAGAATCCCAAAGGCCAATCAAAGCAGAGATATGCATATATCGTCATCATCATTCATCAAAAACCCAGTTTCACCCCAGAACACCTTTTTTCTATATAAGTAAACTACACACTCAAATTTTCTACAAACTCATCTTTTTCTCACACGCATTTCATCAAACACCTACACTACTCACAACCAATGGCAGCCTCAACAATGGCCCTCTCCTCCTCTGCCTTCGCCGGCAAGTCGGTGAAGCTCTCCCCAGACACCGCCTCCGAAATCTTCGGAACCCCACGAATCACGATGAGGAAAACGACCTCCAAGCCCAAACCCGCGGCTTCCTCCGGCAGCCCGTGGTACGGCCCTGACCGCGTAAAATACCTCGGCCCGTTCTCCGGCGAGCCCCCGAGCTACCTCACCGGCGAATTCCCCGGCGACTACGGCTGGGACACCGCCGGCCTCTCGGCCGACCCAGAAACCTTCGCCAAGAATCGGGAACTCGAGGTCATCCACTCGAGGTGGGCCATGCTCGGGGCTCTCGGTTGCGTTTTCCCCGAGCTCTTGGCCCGCAACGGAGTCAAATTCGGCGAGGCCGTGTGGTTTAAAGCCGGGTCTCAAATATTCAGCGATGGTGGGCTCGATTATTTGGGTAACCCGAGCTTGATCCACGCGCAGAGCATTTTGGCCATTTGGGCCACACAGGTTGTTTTGATGGGCGCGGTTGAGGGCTACCGTATTGCTGGTGGGCCTCTTGGTGAGGTCACCGACCCGTTGTACCCGGGCGGTAGCTTCGACCCGTTGGGCTTGGCGGATGACCCGGAAGCTTTTGCTGAATTAAAAGTGAAGGAGCTCAAGAATGGCAGGCTTGCCATGTTCTCCATGTTTGGGTTCTTTGTGCAGGCCATTGTTACAGGAAAGGGCCCATTGGAGAATTTGGCGGATCATCTTGCTGATCCGGTTAATAATAATGCTTGGGCCTATGCTACCAACTTTGTTCCTGGGAAATGAGCTTTATTTCGGGTTGTTTTGAGCCCATATTGAGGCCCGGTTGTTATTATTGTTGTTGTGTGAGCTTTGAGCATATGAAATATTGTGTAAAAAATTGGTGTGATGGAATTGATGATATCCTATGATTATCGGTTCCTTTTTCGTGCTCCACTTTAGTCAGAAATTTGAGACATGGTTTTTGAAAGAGTTATATTTTTGGCAATGAAGTTCAAAAATTAATATAAGTGAAGATATATTCTTGCAAGCATGAGAAATAAAAAGGGAAGTTCTTTTATTTATATTTATATTTATATATTCGAATATATTTATATTTATATTTATATATTCGATTTATATACATATATATTAGATTTACATGATCTTATTATGGATATATTTTGTAGGAAATCATATAAGAAGGAAAGATCTTTGGAAAGAGAAGATAGAGATCTACACCTACCATATCTCTTATGATTTACATGGAAGAAAATTGGATAAACTTGGAAGGAAATCAAAAAGGAGTCCTATACTTGGAGAACACTCCACATCTTAGGGATTGTATATATATCTGCTTGAAGAACGAATTTTGGAGAGCTGAGAGCATCATATTCTATTCCATATTCGAGCTGCAAGTTTTTTGTATTTTATTTTCGTTGGTCAGTTTTCGGTGTTCTTACGTCATCGAAGAACTGAAGTCTGTTTTGTTTTCTTTTCTTTGTTTTTCATTCAAACACTTGTGTGATCAGTGCTTAGGGATTAAGTACTTTAGCTCGAGGGATTCGAGAGGTAAAATTCACGGGACGTGGTCGGAGAAGTAGTTGATAGAATCGTGTGTAGTTGTGGCTAGACTAGAAGGGAGTTCGAGTCGTGTAAGTCCAAACTATACAAGTGTGCACAAACGGTTTATCAATGAAAGAGCTCTGAGGGGAAGTGGGACGCTTCCCTGAAGAGTTTTTAAATCTTCGATTTATTGCTTCCGCATTTTATAATTTTTGTTTTTAGTTCGTACTACAAGTTGAGCGCACTCGTTACAAAATACCTACGTTTCAGTTTTCGTGCTAATAAAGTCTCGAGCCTGTAAACGAGCCGAGCCGAACTATAGAAAATTATATAAAATTCTCCTTTCGAGCCGAGTCGAGCTTGCCTCGTTAACCAAATGAGCTTTTAAATGAGTTCGAACTCGGCTCGTTTAATTTAACAGCATTAGTTAAGATATTCTCAACTTTGATTCATTACTCAAAACTAAAGAGGAAACAAAAACACGACTAGACATTATCTAATACCATTTTCCGAATCTTCGAAAGAGAGGACAACACGTTATCCATGTCCGGTCTGTTATCCGGTACTGTGCTGGTGCAGGATAGAGCCAATTGCAGAAGCTCCTCAAGAACTTCACGATTATCCGAAGCTAATAAATTAGTATCCACAACTCGATCCAGGCCGCCGGTTCCTTGCTGTCGATCGAGCACTTGCTCGACAAGCTGTGATAAAGTGATCGGCAAACCATCCTCGCTCATAAGTCCCGTTGGCCTCTTTCTTGTCATCAGCTCCATCATTATAATGCCGAAGCTGAAAACATCTACTTTCGTCGTGACTTTCCCCATGTAAGCGAATTCTGTTAATTACATTCGAGCAAGCAGCATTATGATTTTTCATAATCGACTAATTATTATATAAACAAATCAACTGATTATTATAATTTATTATGTCTAAATAATGTTTACCTGGAGCCAAGTAGCCAATAGTCCCTTCGAATGCCGACGAACACGAACAATCACCGAGCATTCTTGCTGTCCCGAAGTCACTCACGTGGGCTTCCAGCTCAGCATCAAGAAGAATATTACTCGGCTTCAAGTCACAGTGCACGATTGGGAAATCGTACCCCGCGTGCAGGTACACCAAACCTCTCGCAATCGAAACCAACAAATCGACCCTCTTCATGAGAGTCCAACCGTTATCCTGGTCGTGTATGATCGTGTCCAAATTCCCATTCTCCATATATTCCAAAACTAATGCTTTGAGATTCCCACTCTCCCACGAGTAGCCGAGTATTTTTACCAAATTCCTGTGCCGTAATTTGCCCAAAATGTTGACTTCACGGTAAAAACACTTGTCGGACTCCTCTGCAAACTGCTCCAAGTTGAGCTTTTTAACGGCTACTTTTCGCCCGTTTTCAAGATTTCCTTTGTAGACGATACTCAATGAGCTCGACCCGATTATATTATCCTGGCTGAAGGAGTTTGTAGCATTGGATATATCCTTCGGTTCGTATCTTTTCAGCGAAACTGCCGAAGGGAATTTGTTATTTTCCGAATTATCGACTCCTTTCTTGCCCCTTCTTATCACTCGAGTAATGCAGAATGCTGCTAGAAGAAGAAAAACGAGCACGAGAAAACTTCCGCCGAGTGCCCAGAACAGAATCTTGGTTCTTTTCGACTTTTTCTCGCTCTTGCATCTTTTCAGAAATGTTTTCCCACAGAGATTTCGATTTCCCTGTAAACTGGTTACATTCATGCTCGAAAACACACCGGACTCAGGTACACGGCCTTCAAGCATGTTGAAAGAGAGGTTGAGATATCTTAAGCTCGATATATTCGCCAGGCTGGCCGGAATTTCGCCGACGAGCCTGTTTCGAGATAAATCGAGCGTCGAGAGATGACTCAGCGGGCCGGAGGGTAAATCGGGAATAGTGCCGTTCAGCTGATTTCCAGATATATTCAAGCTCGCCAGCTGAGAGAGCCGAGGAAAAATCTCGGCCCGGAGTTCGCCGGAGAGTCTGTTTTCCGACAGGTCAAGAGAGACCAAATTCCGGCAGCCTCCCAACGAACGAGGGAAGTTTCCGGTTATATTATTGTTCGAAAGATCGAGTCTTTGTACCATTTCCAGCATGTCCATTTCCTCTGGAATCAACCCTTCAAAGAGATTGTGTGACAAGTTAAAAGAAAGTTGAATGTTCCTCATGCCAGCAATAAACGAGCCCGGGATAATCCCGGTAAAGCAATTACTCGAAAGATCTAAGCTCGTCAGACGAGTAAGACGGGCCAATCTTCTTGAAATGGTGCCGTTGAGTCTGTTCCCGCTCAAATCCAAATACGAAAGTGATTCGAGTTCGGAAAGTTCATCCGGAATCGGGCCGAACAATCGATTGTTCTGAAGCCGAAGATCGGTTAGCATTCTCAGCCGAGAAAGCTCTTCGGGGATTGTACCTTCGAGCTCGTTTCCTCCCAATGCAAGTCCTTGAAGAAAACCGAGCTCCGAAACTCTCGACGGAATCAGGCCCGAAAAACGGTTCGAGTCCAAGTCTAGATAAACCAGACGGTCCAAATTAGCAATCTCCTCCGGAATCGGTCCCGATAACGAGTTCTCGAAAGCCCGTAAGGATCTGAGATTCGCGAGCCTGCCAATGTCCGGTTTTAGCGGGCCGTCGAGCCTGTTACGGGCCAAGTCGAGCGTTTGAAGCTTCGTGCAGTTGTAAATATCGTCAGGAATGCTTCCGGAGATTCGATTCCCTCCTAAAGAAAGGAAAGTGAGGTCGGTAAGCCGGCCCAGCCCATTTGGAATCGGGCCCGTTAACCTGTTGTTGGTCAGAGTAATCGCGATAAGGCCCGTACAGTTGGCAATGCCAGCTGGAATGGGCCCATCTAGAAAATTGTCGTGCGCGGTTAGGTTCGTGAGTTTGTACATCGACCCGATTTTTTCCGGGATTGGCCCGTCGAACGAGTTGAAGCTTATTGTCAAATAAGTCAAGTTGGTTAGCTCGGTTATGGTTATTGGAACACAGCCCGTAAAATTGTTCTCGTGGAGAGTCAACACTTGGAGTGACCTCAATGAAGATATTTCGGGCGAAATCGAGCCCGAAAAGTAGTTCCGTGAGAGACCCAAATGGGTTAGTGAGTCGAGCCGGTATAATGAATCAGGGATTGTTGAGTTTAACTCGTTTTGGTAAAGTCTCAAGCTTTGTAACTCGACTAAACTCCCGAGCTCTGAGGGAATTCGGCCGGTTAGTTCGTTGGCGTAGAGGTTCAGCTGAGCTAGCTTCGTGCATTTGCCTAGCTCGGGTGGGATTTCGCCCGATAGAAAGTTGACGTGAAGTTGTAGAGTCTCGAGGCTTGACAAGTTCCCGATTTCGGGAGGGATTTTTCCCGATAATCGGTTTTCGCTCAAGTCTAAAACTTGGATTTCATTGAGTGCACCGATGGAAACGGGTATAGGCCCGTCTAAATTGTTCCCGAAAGCCAAAAACATTTGTAGGTTGGATAATTTGCCGAGTTCGACCGGGATTTGGCCCGTGAGATTGTTGTTGAGGAAGCTGAGTTGTAATAAAGAAGTGCAGTTGAAAAGAGTCGAGGGTATGGTTCCGTTTAGAGAATTATCGCCAAAGTCGATTAGTTGGAGCTCGGTTAGATAACCGAGGGTTTGTGGGATTGGGCCGGAGAGCAAGTTTTCGTAGAGGTTGAGTAGAGTGAGGTGAGTACAAAAACCGAGCTCGGGAGGTATTATTCCCGTGAACGAGTTAAGTGATAAGTCGAGAACTTGGAGATTCGAGAGGTTCGCTAGCGATGGAGAGATTGTGCCGGTTAGGTTAGTGTTAGAGAGGGAAATGGAAACAACGGTTTGGGAAATGGGGTCGCAAGCGATCCCGGACCAGTTGCAGTGGGGATTGGGCCGGGCCCAATCGAGGAGGAAGCCCAACGGGTCGTGGGTTATGGAGCTTCGGAAGGATTGTAGAGCTCGGTTTTCAATTTCGGTTTGGGTTTGGAGGCTTGGAGGCTCTTGTGAGAGGGCTTTAATGAAATGGGTTGTGGTGAGTAGTAGGAGTGTGAAGAAGCTAACTTGTGACATTGTTTTTCTTTTATGTGTTTTTTGGGTTTTTGGTTAAGTGGTGTTGTTCTTTGAGCTTTGAGATGATGGGGTTTTAATAACATTTGATGGGCAGAGCAACTGATTTGGAAGGGTGCAGTGACCTGTAAAGAAACTCTAAACAAAGACATTTTGGTGGAGACTTTGACCAGTTTGGAAGA